CTGTGTTAAAATGTTTCTGAGCGAACTTCAGTCCTACCGCCAGAAATCGGTGAGTGAGGATGGAGAGTGAGGACGCAGCCGACTTCATCTGGAAAAGTGACACCTGGCACAGGTTGTTCAAAGACCCCTCGGGAGGAGAAGAGGACAGAGATGCAGCTGGACCTGGAGACCACAAGAAGGACTACAACAGGATTAGCAGCTGCAGAAGTGACAGTGAATGAACTGAGAATAGCCCAAACCCCAATTTGGGGCTTACAAAGGAGTGTGATTGGGGCAGGTGAGGGTGGAGGGTAGGTGTGCAGGGGAGTGGGTGCATTTGTTGTAACGGAAAGTGCAGGTTTCTTAATGCGGTTTTAAGATGTGTGATGGAAAGTTAATAACAGGGGTTGGTGTACATGTATATATGTGTGTGTGTGTGTATGTGTGTGCGTGTGTGTGCACGCATATATACACACACAATATAAAACTCTCTCTCTCACACATACATATAATTTTAATTTAAAAAAAGAAAAAGGTGAGAGACATAAGGATCTTGTGCTAATGTGGGCCTGGGGCTGGGGGATAGGCTGCCCCTGACTCTGAAGACACCTCTGCCAGGACTTGAGCCTGGTCCTGCACCTTCTGTGCTGCTCGCAGGGAGGAACTGTGGGCTGAAGGAGCCGCGGCTGAGCCTACACGTCTCGGGGAACAGCAAACAATGGCACCGGGACCTCCGCACGCTTTGTTCCTGTTGTCCTCTCCCTACGCCAAGGCTAAGGCTCGTTCTTTCCTGCCGTTGGGGCAACTGGCCAGGAAGAAATGTTACCACAAATATGCGGGTTGTCAGCAGGGCACTTCCCACCCACCTTGAAGATGGATCAATCCATCGATCTCTGCCTCTAGCCCCGGCCAGGCCAAAGATAACAGAGGGGGAAATGCAGAGGGCCAGCTGTATATACAGCTATTCCAGGAGGCAAGGCCTTTCAGGTCATGTTCCTCTTTGATCTCCTGAAGTCAATGGGAACCGGCCAGTCAGGAATGTGTCTCATCCAGCATGCGGCGTGGAGAGAGACACGCTCCAAGGCAGACGTGTAAGGCACCGGATGAAGGGCCAGACTGGACGCAGCCCAGGCGTCTGCTGGAGGAGGGCTCCTTGGGCGAGGCTTGGCTGAGAGCGTGTGCTCTAGAGGGAGGATTTGACTGGAAGGGAAGGCGCCAACAGTGGCATTCGAGCCCTGGAGGGTGCTGGGGGGGGAGCGTGAGAGGGGGCAGGGGATCGGCCTTCCCCACCCTCTCCCCTTGGAGCTGAGCTCTTGCGCCTCTTTGCCCCCTTGCTCTCACTGGGCGCCTCGCTGGCTGTATGAGCACTGTGTTGCTTTCCATCTGCCTGGCCAACCCTGTGGCTGTTGCTGTAGCTTTCTGGTCACCTCCTTCCAGCCTGAAGCCCACGGGTGAGGCATTCGCTTGGCTCTTGGCATCCTTGTGACACCTCCTCCTGCCCCACAGCTACATAAACATCTTCTGTGCCGTTCAATGGCTGCTGCCATGCAGAAGCACTGGGGTAAACATTTGCTCCTGCCTTTGATCCCTGGTGCCACCTGTTCATTTGTTTGCAGGCATGGCAGACCTGGCCCCCAAGCCTGGGGTGGCAGGTCCTGCCCTGGTGCACCTGAGTGCAAGCAAGAAAGGGAACCAAGCCAGTCCTCTGTGTCCCCGTTTCCCATTGAGATGGCAATGGAGCAGCAGTGGCTTTGGAGGCCCGCCTTCGACCCTTGTTCTTCCCAGTACTCGTTTCCCCCATCTGGGACCTGGGATGCCAGGGGGCTGTGGGGGAGCAGCCGAGAGGAGCCCTGCAGTCTGGGAGAGCGAGGGACCGGGTGCTTGAGAGCAGCAGGGAGCAAGAGCAGCCTGTAAGTAGCTGAGAGGCAAATGGGTTGCTGATCTTCCATGGTGTCCTGAACGCTGCTGTGGGCTCTTTCCAGACACCCACAGCCCTTCCGCGTTGCCAGCATGCGGGTGCTGTCCCGTTATCCTGATGGCACGCTGTGGATTCAGGAGCCAGACCCTGGGGAAACACCCAGGTGGACCTGCCTTTTTCTGCAGGTCCATCTCTAATGCTGAAGGGTCTGTCTGAGCCCCAGGAGCCTGGTCTGCCTGGGCTGAGGCGCTGTGGTCATGGGAGCGATCACCCGTTCCCCTTTGCCGCTGCGGCTCCTTGGCTCCCAGCTCCGCGGAGTCCTGTTGTTCTGTCAGCAGCAGGTCTTTAGCCCTGTCCCTGGATAGCAAGGAACCAGAGAATGAGGCCCCTGTGAGACGTTTGTCTCCTAACCTGGCTGCAAACTGGCTCCACACGTGAGGATAGAGGGGACCCTCCTGAACCACCTTGGGGCCCCTGTCGTGTCCAGTCGCAGCTCACAGCTAAGAGCCCGTCCACGTCGGAGCCAGGGCCACAGGCTCCTTGCTCCAGGTGTAACTTTGGTGTGAACCAGCCCTTGGACTTCTGCACAGTGCCCGGATTAACAACCACCTCCCGCTACCTCTGACCTGCGGTGCTGCCGGGTGGAGTACGCTGGAAGTCTGTGCGTGTTCCTGGGGGCAGTGTAGGGAGGCCTGCAAAAACGGTCCACGTGGTGCTGCCCCCACTTTGTATCCACAGCACCACAGGCCCCAAGATCTCTCTGGGCTGCCTGGGGCTGTCGAGCGGCTGCGGTGCTTCAGATTCTGTGTTGTCAGACCTATGAGACCTCTTTGGTTGGGCTTTTTTCATTAAAATCAAAATCCTCCCCTCTCCACATTAAAAACATAACAGTTTACCTCACTTTACATAACACATGTCCAAACTAGCACAGCATCTCCTCATTTACATGCCTTGACATCTACCGTTTCTTCCATCTATGTACTTCTTATCCTTTGGCAGTATGAGACCTGTGTTGTCAGACCTGTGTTGCTCAGGTCTTATGTCTCTGTTTGGCCTCCCAGACATGCAGTTCCCACCTGGTTTCCCTCCGTGGCGCTGTGAGTGACACTTCACCCCCCTCTGTCCCCTGCCATCCATAGCACTGAAGACCGGCTACTGACTGTAAGTCTTGTAACCTTCCTCCCTCCAGATTCCCTGAATCTGACAGTTCTGCCCATTTTACAGAGAGGGAAATGGAGGCACAGAGGGGTGTAATGACTGGCCAAAGGTCCCTGAGATGCCAGCAATGGACTCCCAGTGCTGTGCACCAACCACTAAGGCATGTTCCTTCCTGAGGGAAGGAGTCGGGGTAAGGAGGAGGCAGTGTCCACATACTTCCTGCAGTCCCTGAGGTGCATGCCCCAGCTCCGTGCATAGTCCCCCACCCTGGGGCCCCTACAGATGTTCTTGAGGACAGAGTGATGCCAGGGGATGGTATGTGGCTCACTGGGCTGCAGAAAATCAAATGCAGGCCCGTGGGGGGGAACGGAGCTGCCTCCAGGAGCCACCCACGGTCTAGCAGCCCCCTCCCGAGGTGGGGAGGGAGGACTGTGAGCACCCAGCATCCTGGCCGGCTCTCCTTCGGCCTCAGGACACAGCCCCCACCCATTGCTGTCAGTGTGTGACCTCCAGCAGAGGCTCGGAGCCTCTACAAGCGGCATTTCCTCCCTCTTTTTGGCAGGCAAGCGCTTGGCAGACCCTCCTCTAAAGGGAGTTGATTTCCTGCCGCTCTGGGTCATCAGTGCTGGGTTGAGTCAGTGCCGCACATTCAGGCGCTGCGAGTTCCTCTCCAGCACATCCCCTTGGCGGAGGAGCCGGGACACGACCAGCCGCAGCCTCCAGGTCTGCCCGGGGTCCCTGCTTCCTTCTCTGCCACCGACAGCTCGGGAACTGCCCCAAGGCTGGAGTGGAGCAGATCCCCCTTCCTCCGCCTGCCTGCCCTCAGTCCCATCGTGTGGCCGTGCAGCCCGTCGAGGCTCTCTGGGGCCAGGCCGCTGCCTCTGGACACGGGCTAAGAGGAGCCAGGACGCGCCGCCGGAGCGGGAGGCAGCGTTCCCACGCCATGCAGACTCTCCTGGGCCTCGCCGCGCTGCTGCTCTGTTGCTCGCACGCCTGCACAAGTGAGTTGCTCTTCCTTCTCCGGTCCTTCGCGAGCTCAGCACGGAGGGGGGCTGGGTTCATTTTGTCTCTTTCTGCCTTGTTTCTGCCTCTTCCTTCTCGCCGGCCTCCTCACCGCTCTCCTGAGCTCCGTTTTCGCAAGTCCTCATGAATTCAAGTCAGGCCAGGTGTTCCTCCTTCCCAGAGTCCTGCTCTGTCCCAGAAAGGCGGGGGCATCTGCCCCCGGCGGGAATCCCCCAGTTTGGTCTCCTCGCCTTCTCTGTGGGGAAGCCAGTGGGGCGAACTAAGCTTGATGCTGGGCTGCTGGTCCCCAGCTCCATCCATCTTCTCTAGAAACAAGAGAGGTGGAAGAGCGTCACAGCCCCAGCTCCGCTCTCCGCCAGCGAGGTTCGCTAGGCCTCAGCCGGCCGCGCCGTGCCGTGCCCCCTGCTGCTCTCCCAGGGCTGGGTCGAGGAGCATCTGTGGCCGCTTGGGGCTGGGAGGTTGGTGTCATGTAATGATTTGTTGTGAGGTCCTCAGGGCTGGGGGCAGTGTGCAGAGCTGCAGTGCGAGGCCAGTGGCTTTTTGTCATCAGAGCTGCTCCTGCAAAGAGTTGCACCCCTCCTGTAAAGTGCAAGGGGCTTCAGTGGGGACCACGGCCGCCGCACTGCAGCTCCCAGGATCTGGCTCAGTGGGTCTCGTCCAGGATCCAGGGAAGTTGATGGACAGACTCTCGACGGACTTTGGACCAGACTTATGGAAGCTGGAGGGAGCTGGGTGGGGAGTGTTGGTGGCTTCCAGCAAACCTCCAGATAAACAGCTCTTAAGAAATACCCTGGGAGCAGACAGTGCAGAGCCAGTGGGAGCAGCTGCTAAGGGTTCATTTGGACACAAGGTCACTCCTCTCTGGCTGGGATGCCCTGGGGTTACTGCCGGCGCCCGGAGAGCTGTGCAGCCGGGCTGTCGGTGTTGCTCCACCACAGAACCTAGTGACCCACGATGGGCAGGGGCTGACTCAAGCCGCCAAGGGCCTGGCTTTGCGCAAAACGGCTTTTATTTTGATTACTCAGTGAAGTTGAGCCCCGGCTGTTGCGGGCAGAATCCCGTGAGCCAGGGTTTTGCTGAGGAAACAGCTTCAAGTGTTGCCAGGAGTGGGGGAAGCCTGGATATGTTAGAAAGAAGTACAGACCGCAGGTCCCCCCCCTTCACCCCATCCCCGTTCCCCCGCCCTTTGGCTTTTAAAGCCCCAGAGCAGCAGGGGGGGAGCGAAGGGGAAACAAGGAAATCTCTCCCTCAAACTTAGCAGGCTTTGAAACCTGAGACTGTAAAGAAACAGGGAATTTGGCCAAAGAGCCTCAATGAAGAGAAATCCTCTCACTGGGATCATCTAGTCTGGAAAAATAAGCTGCTTGGAGAACAGCCCAGCCGTGTTTCTTCACCCTTGTAAAAATCCTGCGAACATCCAGGCCAAAGAGTGAAGCAACTTTGGGGCTGGAGCGGGGGGGAGTTTACTCATCTTCAGCAACTACATACGAGCAAAAATTTGGAAGGAGCAAACATTTGAGTGCACAGAAAGAAATGTGCAGGCAAGGATCTCCCCGAGGGAAGGGTGTCAGTTCCCAGGAAGAATGAGAATTAAGTAGCAGAGATGGAGCCAAAATCTTGCTCTGGGAATGAACCATGGCTTTTGCCAAGGGACTGTCCTACATGGCCACATCCAGCCCGCCAGGGTAGCACTGCAGCGGGACGTGGTGGGAGGCTGGGATGGTCGTCGCAGCAATCTGAAGCCACTCTGCAGTTTATAATGCTCTGAGATCCCGCTGTTCGGGTAGAGTCGAACAGGTCAGCACAGCGGGCTTGGCAGGAGAAGCAGCTTCAGACCCAAGGTCAGGTTTCCAGGAGGGGTAGTGGCTGTGGAGATAACATAGTTACTGGGGGTGGTTTCCGAAATGCATGAGCCTCAGAGAGTGGGAAGGAAGGAAGAGCTTGACAGGCACTGAGACATCTTCAAGGGCATTATTTCTGCAGCTCACTCAGCTCAAAGAAGAGCTCTGAAGACATGCAAAAGTCTCTCTCAGCAGGGCCCAGGAGCAGGCACTGGAATTTGAGTCAGGGTAGCGAGTTATTGCCAACGCCAAGAGATCGCAGATCGGGAGTCTGGTCCCAGACACCAGAGATTTTAAAACAGGGATTTCAAGTCAATTGAATCAATGTAAACTCTTTGTTTTAAATTTTCCTTTTGATTTCTGAGCCTTGGGGGTTGTGTTTGCAAGGTTTCAGAGGGTTACAGACTTGGTGCTGGAATGGAAAGCTGAGTTTCCTCTAGGCGCATGACTCCAGGAGCTGGGACTGTGAGAAAACTGCCGTCAAATATCAGAGGGGCTTGTGACCGAATCCTGGAAGCTGATGAGCCCGTAGTAAGGAGGGCTAGAAAAGCAGTTAGCTGGATCTCGGGATCTGGGGATCACACAGCAACCATTGGCTGTGAAAACAGCAGGGGGATGGGAGGGGCTGCAGGATCATTGCCAGAGCGCGTGCGATCTGTCGGGAGAGGGCTGCGCTAGTCACTCGCGTGGCAGGGTTGAGTGGCAGGGATCTCTCCTAGCAGCCTTGTGTGTGCTGGGCTAACATACTTCAGGTGGGATTGGGGCACAGCTAGAGAGTTGCACTGGGACAAATCTGTCCCTGGTACAGCATCACTGACTTGCACCCACAAGGTCTTCATTCAAAGCCCCAAGTTTCCTCTGTGTCTCTGGTGGATCCCTAAGGACAGTCCTGTTCATTTCCCCCATTGACTGTCTGCTGATAGCCAAGGGCACACTTTGAAACCCCTGTGTCACTGGAAGGGAGTCTCTGCTGAAGAACTGGTCCAGCTGCATGGACCGGCTCAGTGGCCACTAGGTCAGAGTTACCACGGGGTTGGCCCCCTACATACGGGATTGGCCCCGTACCTGGCCCCATATGTCAAGCGTACATAGCGCGTGGTGCCGTCTGAGAGCCTGGACAGGCAGCCTGCTTGCACCTGTGTAATGGTCACTGGGTTTGTACACCCGTGTTGATTATGGGGTCTAGAGGAGACATACAAGGTAGCTGTTCCCAGTACGCACCATTACAGTACCTCACTGCACCGGGGTAGGGAGCAGGCCATAGCCCGCTTGCACTGAGCAAATGGCTACCCTGGGATGGAAGATGGAAGTCACACCAGTGTAGGCTGACTTCTCGTTCTTCCCCCGGTAATGCTATCCTGGACTTGGGGTAAGTTACACAGATGTAGGAGTATCTGCTGACTCCTTGTTCATACCAGTTCAGAAGTGGCAACTATCCAAGGCCAGACACCAGTCCCTAGGTGCGAGAATCACCATGGCCCAGAGATGAGTAGATATTTCAAGCCTTGGAGACAGGGCAGCTCACAGGAAGGTGAGCCCAGCACTATGGCCTATGGCCTTTTGGCTAGGGGCTATCTGAACTCCAGGGCCTCTGGGCTTGGGGTTTGCACATAGGATGCCCACCATGGATTTGGGTGCATCTGAAGTCCCAGGCTGACTAGTCTGAGAGGTAGGATACTTGCCAGTGGTAGCGCAACACAGACTTGAACAACTGCGCTCTGCTCAGTTGAAAAAATTCGCGACTAATTTGGCCTAAGACACAAAATTATATATATATATAAATTTGTGTCTTAGGCCCAAGACACAACATTATATATACAAGGGGGAAAGGGACCATTAGGGTGTCTAGTCCCATCTGCTGTGAGAAGAGACCGCATCAGCTCAGCTGCTTTCAATTCCACTTATATATATAAAGACCTCCTAAATCCCACCCCCACCCTGAGCAATCTTATATGTGCATCACACCCACTGGCCTTGTCTTCCTTCTACCGTTAATTAGCATCACGCTTGGTGCTGCTGGCAATTTGCTGGCGTTGTTTTCCAGCTAACAGAAAGGGTCTGATCATACGAGTAGGTCCCTGGGCACCAGGCTATGGCTGTATCTGTGCTTAGCAGTGACTTCAATTTTATACTGCCTGCGCAGTGAAATAAGGGATGTGCCCCAGGAAAGCCTCATGGCACGGTGTAGTGACCCGGCTGTGTCTGGAATAGTGGGCTGGGGAAAAATGATGTGTCCTCGGGGACAGGAAAAGCTGGCTTTGTGAGGGGAGCTGGGGAAGAGAGGAGACCAGTTTCCAGGCTGCAAGTGCCCCTCATTGAGTCTGGGAAAGAAGGCACAAGTCAGGTTAAACTGAAGCAACTGTCCTGAGGTATGTTAATTTATTTCACTGCCTGAAAGGGAAGCAGGCAGCTGTCAGCCGGGGAGCAAGAAGAAATAGTTGGCCATGATAGTCTGAAGTCAGACAGAAGGGGCATGGGAGGTTAGCAGAAGGAGAGGGAGGCAATGAAACCTGGGTCTCTGTTATGTCCATAGTTCTTGGTGTCCGGTAAAGTCAGCAGTTTCTGTTCCCAGGCCTGTGCCCTGAAGGTGACTTGGAGACATCTTTCAAGGCCTGGGAGATCAGAAGCAGAGTGAGAGCTTTGTGAAAAGCACCCTCCCCGAGAGCCCTGAGCTCCCCATTTGCTTTAGTGGGACAAAGGTTTGGCCCAGCTACAAAGAGCTCCCGCTGCCCACACTCCAGCCCCCTTCGGGCACGGAGAGAGGAGCTGACGGTTTGGGACAGTGCTGGACCCACAGCAGGCAACATCTGCACTGTCCCTTCCACATCCAAAGCTTGTTGGGATGTTCAGTGACCTGGGAAGCCAGAGGCCCCTCCCAGCTGAGACTGGAGCAGAAATCAACTTGCAAAGCTTAAATTGAAGAGGGTTTGTTTCCTTCACTCTCCCTTCCCTTCTAGCATGAAGAGAAGGAAGAGTATGGTGTGACTCAGAGCTGACCTGGTCCACGTGGCCGCGGCCGTGGCCCACGCTCCTTGCAGCTCTTGGGGGTGGCAGGTACTTAACAGCATAATTTCCTGGCCTGGTCTGTTAGTGGCCTGCGTGAACTGCAGGTCCCAGGAGTGACGGGGATGGGACTG